ACAGGATGGAGCCCAGAAACAGACCCATGGACATGCAGGTATTTCTGTATTGAGGGTCAGAGGACACAAACAGGGATTTTCAAGAAATCACGCTGGGAAATTGGGTGTCAGCACAAAAAAACAAATGAAATGGAATCCCTGCCTCATACCACATGCAAAAAATAATTCCACATGAATTTAAGATTTAGAGAAGGCAAAGCTCTGACGCTACTGAAAAATATTATAGCAGAAAATCTTTCAATCTTTTGGGTTTCAGGAGCCCATGGGGTGGGAGAGTGTCACCTCCGCAGCATGCCAGGTCAGTGGGGTCTGAGGGCTGCTCTGTAGGCGGCAGACTCGGGGTGGTGTGGTGTGGGGGGTGTGGGGTGGTGTGGGGGAGCCCCTAGGAATCCCTGCTCCCCCAGACTCTGGCTTCCCGCTGGTCTCACCTCCTCTCTGCAGAGCTGCAGGGCCTCAGGCCAGGAGAGGGTTGCGGAGCTGTTTCTCTTTAATCCCTGGAGCTGTCTCAAGCTCTGCACTTGGCCAGGCCTTCCTTCTGTGAGCTCTGCACTTGGCCAGGCCTGCCTTCTGTCCGCCCACTGGGCCAGCGTGCCTTAGGCCTGGGGGCTCATTGAGGCTCACGACTTCGACCACGGGCAGTGCAGTCACACAGGTGGACATGTCCGTGCAGAAGGTGGGCCAGGCTGGCATGCTCAGGCTGTGCTGGGCTCAAGAGAGGGAGAGATGGGGTTCTGTCGTCGGCCCAGGGCCCTCTGAGGAGGGGACGAGCTGGGATTGGAGTGGCCAGAGGCACAACCACGGGAAGATGGGGACATGTATTCCAGGCAGGGAGCTGCTGGTGCAGAGCTCTGAGAGGAGGCCCAGGTGGTAATGTCAAGTGAGGTGGAGCTGGCAGGTGGGCAGGGCCAGCCCGGGGCCCTTTGTAGAGCCAGGTGGGACATGCAGAAAAAGCCTGGAGCAGGGTGTCAGGGAGGGTCTGAGCAGGGCAGAGAGGTGGCTCTGGTGGCATTTCATAACACGCTCTGGGGATCTTGAAGGGGGAGGCTCGGAGGCTGGGCCCCAAGGGCTGTGGGGGACGGTGAGAAACGCAGCTCCTGCCCCAGCAGAGGCATGGGAGCGGCGAAGTAGGACTGTGGTGCAGGGGTGTTGGGGCTGTGGGGGGCAGGTGGGAGTGGAGTCTCAGGTGCAGGTGGATGTGCAGCAGAGGCTGCGGACACTGTGGGGCTGTCTCAGGTGGGAAGGGACGTTCCTGAGGTAGGGCTGGGCCTGGCACCTCCCTGACCCACTGAGATGTGGAGGGTTGTGATTTGAATGGGGGAGTCCTTGTTGATGGAGACAAAAGGCTTGTCGTTGGGCACCAGACTGTGATTGCACCCTAAGCAAAGGACAAGACTTCCCAGAACAGAAGGGGGTGGGGTGGGAGGAATGGGGAGGTGGTGGGTGGTAGCGGGGTGGTGGTGGCCTGGAGTGTCTTCCTGCCAGCACCAATGAAATTTCTTTCAAAGCAACTTACCTTCCTCTTTCTCCAGTAAAACTCCAGACTTTCCCTTTGTTCTTCAGACACACCTAGGGGCTACCCTGGTCTGTGTCTCCAAATTACAATTCTCGTGTATTCCCAAGTGAACTCTTTGCTTAGAGATTCATCTCTATATTATTTCAAGTTAACAATGTTGAAGAAAAAGCAGAATGAAGACTTATGGTAAGATACCAAATAATATTGCTCAAAAGAATAGAACCCTCATCTTTGCATTATACTGCCATCAACAGTGAAAAACTTGTATTGTTGGATGCATGCATTAGTGTTTTACTCAAAGACAAAAAAAATCACACTGTGAGACAGGGGAAAAGAAATGTAAGGTGTGACCCTTGACATTGACAATTAGAGGTTATACTTGGCTACTCCTACTAACTCTACAAACCTGAGCTTAAAAGTAACTTCCTCTGGTATCCCTTCCTTGACCTCTAAGGAAGTTTATAGTTTCTTATCCTCCAGAGCAACATCTGCTTGCTCTTGTCCTGACACACACAACATCTGTAATTACTGGTTTATTGCTGTTTTCTCATTAAACTCTAAACTCCAGAATGACAGGTACTATGTCTGCTTGGCTCATACCCAGCATCAAGCGCAGTACCTGACACAAAGTAGTTACTTGCTACTTGCATATTTATTACATTAAATTGGAACTAATGGCCCGTCTATGGCTTTATGAGCCATAAAGGAGAAAAATAAAATGAAATAAAGTTCCAAATTAATATAACTGACTCTAACATTTGCAACTAGAATATGCAAAAGATTATGTGAATGTTGAGGAAATGTCCAACAATTAAATGATTGGGGTTTCAAGTCTTTGGCAAATTAAATGGTGAGTAAGCAAGTTTTGAGCATTTCAATCTAATGTATTTCTAGTGTGTTTCAGATAAAAACATCAGTGAAAAAGGAATTTCTTAGTTTGCTACCAAAAAAGTAGGGGAGGACAAAATGAAAAAAGGAAAGGTTGTATTTAATGAAACATGAATAATGAAACATGTTTACCATACACCAAATGCTGAACATATAACTATGAATAAGACATGATCCTTGGCTTATGGAATTGAATACTTTAGGAAAGGATGTGTGACTAGATGATTATAATACAAATTGGTGACTGTTACAACAAAAGACTTGGAGTTATGAAAACTGTAAGAAAAAGAGATGACGATTAATCTGAGTCTTAAGGAATGGATAGTTGAAGAAAAGGGGCAAGACTTTTTCCCACATTGAGGAGATTCAAAAATATTTAAGCAATGCTTATATAATGTTTAACTCAGTTCAGAAAATATAGGCATTCATGGTGTACTCCATGTTAGGTATCACAAGTGCTCTGTTTGCCCCAAATTTAGAAGTGGATCTTGAACTGCCCAAAGGATTAAAGATCTTAACCTGTAAAAATGACTTTGTGCAAGTATAAAGATATGAAGAAAGTTGCTTTCAAGAGATTAAAAAATTACTGACTTAATAACAAAAAATCCTCCTATGGTAATCTTAAGTACTGGGTAAACAAGTAACAGTCATCCTGGTGATAGTGTATTCTCATCTGTGAGAATCAGCTGCTCAATTATTTTATCATTTTAGCAACATAGGAACTCATAGATATCAATAAGAAGTTTATTGAAGAATTATCATCAGGAAAGTGATTTCCCACACATTGAAATGATTCTCTCTGATTTTCTTCAGTCCTTTTTAATTTGATATATGTTTTAAATAGCCAAATTTATTGATAACAGTGAAGAATATTGTAGAGGAAAGAACAAAAGTCTTGGAAAGTTAAGACAGTTACTGATAATTAAGAGTACTGGGGAATGCAGATTAGGAGGCAGGACTTTAATTTCTTGTTTTATTAATATTACTATGATGTAATTTGATCACAGCTGTGATGTAGTCAATCCATTTAACCTCTTTAAATTTCATTTTTCTCATTTTAAAAATCAATGTTGTTTTGAGGGTCAAATTAATGCCTGTGAGAGTATTTTGACAAATAACATATTTAAGAGGTGCCATATTTTCTTAAACCTTGCCAAATATATGGTCCAGGATTGCAAGAGAGCTTAGATTTCATGAAGATAGCACCCTCTCCCACCACAGGTTGAGCAACTTGTGATTTATCTTGTCCAAGGTCGCAAAACTGGCTAGTGGTAGCCAATCACCTAGTTCTGCTTTCATGCTTTTATTCATCATTCATTCATACATTCAATAACATTTTTATGGAGGATAAACTAAGGTCAAAGCATTATGCTTGGTGCTGTGGGTGATTTCAATTTATCAGACACAGACCCTTCCCTCAACAAATTTAGGGATTAGCAGGGAAAATAAGACTCAATCATAAGTGTACAGTCAGAGAAGGGGTTAAGAGACTACGAATAAACTATTATGTAACTTGGCGAGAGTCAATGGAGAGTGGGTGGAAGAGGTGACAACTCAGCCATGCTTCAAAGCGCAGAAAGGATTTGCTACAAATCACAGTCCAGGGTTAAGAAACAGAGTGAGCAAAGGCACTGTGGTCTTAGGCCTCAATAAATTTTAGGGAAGTTCCGTCATAGTACAACTCATACTGTTCCCTCTGGGGTTCCTGTCCTGGATACAATTCAGGTAACCTCTCCCTGAGGACACCTCTTCGCCTCACTCCCCCTAGGCCCAGTGAAGGGCTGCCTCCCGTTTCCATGGTTCCCGGCCACCCCTTTCTCAGGGCACTTATGACACATGACTATGTATTTGGCTTCTTTGTCCAGTGCCCCTACCTCCTCGTTTCTGAGCTCCTTGAGACAACAGGGGCTAGCTAGCTCATCAGTGTACCTGTAGCCCGAGCACTAGGCACACCCTTCCCTTTTCTTAGAGCAAACGCCCAACTCATTCTTCCAGGTTCAGCTAGAATGTCACGTTCTTCGGGCACCCATGGCTGTTCCTACCGCCCTCTACATACACAAGGCACAGGACACGAAAGCTGTGTCTGATTCATCTCTCCTACGGCCTGGCACGTAGTAGGCGCTCAGTAAATGCTCGCAAATGCGCGGAAACATTCCGATATCGGGGGAGGAGCTCCAGCAGGCTTTTCCTCAGAACGAGCTCCACCTCTTCCCCAGGTAGGACCCCAGGGGGTGGTGCTGCAGCGGCGAACTGGCCGGGGCGCGACCTCCAGCGCCGCCCCCAACCGGGAGCGGTCCGTAGCCTCCTCACCCGCCCACCGGCCGCACAGCGCCCGTCCCCGCGCCCCCAACCCACACCACGCAACATCGCCCTAGCGTCTCTCAGGGCGTCGCCGCGCGAGCTGCGCCGCCTGCGATTGGCCAAACGCAGCATAGCGCCATCTCGGCATACCGCGCGGTGCGCGCCCTCATTGGCCAGCGGCGGCGGCATGGGGCGGGGCCTGTACGCGGGGCCGAGGGACGGGGCGCGCTCGCCCCTGTAGCCCCGCCCCCTGGACCCTCCCCCGGGCCCAGCCCGCCTGGCCCGGCCCGGGAGGCGCGTGGGCCGGCGGCAAGGGAGTGCGCGCAGCGGCTGCCCTGGTTACTGTGCCCTCGCCGCGCCGGGACAGCCGCTGTCCGCGAGGGATGCTGGTGAGGAGGCCGCCGGGAGCCGCCACCGCCGCCGCCGTCTGAGGTCTCTCTGGAGCCCGCCTTTCGCTGGCGGGGAAGCGAAGTCGCGGACGGGCAGTTTCGGGGCTGGTGAGTCCGGAGCCTGCTGAGAAGTCCCGAGGTGGAGGCTGCCGCCGCACCCTCGATCCGAGGCCGTCTTTTGTTGGAGAAGGCGGCCAGTAATTTCCCCCGAAAGTGGGCTGAGACCCTTTCTCCGCGCTGGCCGCAGCTCCGAGCCTCCCGGCCGCTGTCGCCAGCGCGAGGCGGCGTTTTCCCCAGCGTCCAGATATTTCTTTGATCGCCCCCTCGCCATCCAGTTCTGAAAGGGCACTTGCTGCTGGTGAGAGAAAAGAAAAAAAACTTACAGCACGACGAGCCCAGATAAAAATATAAAACATCACCCGCCGCTGCCCCCCAGGAAGCCCCATCCTAAAAAAGGAATTTGTGGATTGCCTGAAAGAGGAGGAGCGTGTCTAATCGTGAATTCTTGGAGCAGGTGATTTTTAAATACTGCTTTCTAAGTCCTTTACAACTTTCCCCCTTCGGATAATTTTATACTGACTTTATATGATTTTTAAAATTGGTCCGATCTGACTTCTAATCCAGTGACGGTGTTTGCTGTAGTTTGGCTGGTTCTCCGTGCTCCTGTGGGTACCACATTTTGGGGAGAACCTAAACCCACCTGGGGAGAATCTCAACCTCGACTGGTGCCACCAAAGCAGCCTTTTGAACCATGTGGACTTTCCTTGGCATTGCCACTTTTACCTATTTTTATAAGAAATGCGGGGACTTCATCACTTTGGCCAACAAGGAGCTCCTGTTGTGCGTGCTGGTGTTCCTTTCGCTGGGCCTGGTGCTCTCCTACCGCTGTCGCCACCGAAACGGAGGCCTCCTGGGGCGCCAGCGGAGCGGCTCCCAGTTCGCGGTCTTCTCGGATATTCTCTCAGCTCTGCCTTTCATTGGCTTCTTCTGGGCCAAGACTCCACCTGGATCAGAAAATAAGGAGCAGCTCGAGTCCAGGAGGGTAGGTTGATTTCAGAGCGGGCAAATGAACGAGTGTCTTATTTTAAGATGAGGATTGGGGTCATTCAGATATAAGTTTTCCTCTTTAAAAGGCAAAAGATGGCAGCTTAGATAACTTTATTTGGATTTTCTTTTAAAACTCTTGACTGTGCCTTGGCTACATCCTTAGGAATGATTGAAAACATTTCTTTCCTTTAGCGTTGGTGAGCCTCAGATGGAGGTTAGATATTGATTTGATTATGAAATGTTAGAATTTCAGTTTGAAGAACAGGATCACTTTCCATGATGGAAAAAAATAATGTTTTATTTAAACCCTTGGGGTAAGGATTGCATTGTACCTGCAAAGAAAGAGATGTGCTGCAGGTTAAGTCCACTGCTTATATATAAGAAGTGACAGCTGACTAGGGAAAGTGACACCAGTTTGGAAAGCAGGCAGAGTAAAAATGCTCAACATTTTAAAGCCTTGGGTAAAAGCCCTCCTCCCCCTACAATGGAGCACTAAGTAAATCCGTGAGGTAATATCCTGAAAGCAAAGACTAGGTCTTAAAATACATGTGTAGTTACCATGCCTGCAAAGGGAGCAGAGGAGGCCAACGGTAGGAGATGAGGGGGGAGGTCGTTGAGGCCAGATCATTTAGGGCCTGTTGGCCATGGGTGTTTGGAGTTTTCTCTAAGAACACTGGAGAATTATAAACATGGGAGTAATAGTGTTTGATTTTTAGTTTTTAAAAATAACATTCCAGTTGCTGTATGGAGAATGGATTGTAGTGGAAGCAGGGTTATCAGGCAAGAGACTTTAGTAGTAGGCCCAGCAAAGGATGAGAGTGGCCTGAAATTAGGGTGACTACAGATAGAGTTCTGGATCTACATTATTTTACCATATGTGCAGCATAGATTAGCAAAGTAGAAGAGGGGGACTTGATTTAAATTTTGGCTTCACCAATTCTGGATGTGAGGCCTTTGGCAAGTTGCTTATTTTCTGTAAGAATCAGCTACCTCTTTGGTTAGAAGGGAATGGCACCACTCTTGCTAGTAGTCAGGGAATTAAATGATTTAATGTCTGTAAAATACCTGATTCAGAACTGCCTAATAAGTAGTAGTTAAGTATTAACATTAGTCTAAAGCTGCAGTCCTTAACCCTGGGCCTGTTAGGGAAAAGGCAGCAGAGCTCCCACCCACCCCCCAGCCATCCATGGAAAAATTGTCTTCCAAGAAATCCGTCCCTGGTGCCAAAACGGTTGGGGACTCCTGGTCTAAAGGAAGTATACATCTGTTAGGAGGAACCTTTTAAGTAGAGTTAGTTCGGTGGCTTGGTGAGTGCGGGTTGGAGGAATGGGAAAGGAGGAAGAGGGAATTCTTAATTCTCAATATGAAATCTTTTGTATTGTTATCTAAGATAACTTCCCTCGGGGTAACTGAGCACTACACTAATCTGGGTGGCTGGAATGCTGTTTCTGTCTTTCATGCTGTGTAGAAAAGAAATTTTAGAGTAGGAAAATGGGGTTACCCCCATTCAATATTGGTTCTATTTTGTGAATGCCTCAGGTATTCTTTTTAGTTGCTGTAAGCCAGGGAGTTGTTAGATTGTGCTCTGTGGAGTCAGTTTCCTTTGCTACTTGGTCTGCTGATCAGGCTATGAAAAATTTGATTTCCTCCGGAGCTCCTCTTTCAGGATTTTGGGTGTATGTGTGTGTGTATGTAAGTAAAAGGAAAAACTTAGGAAGAAAAACTAGTGAAAAATGGTTAAGATGACAAAAAGTGCTTATCTTGCTCCCAGAACAGTAAATACAGTCAGTTTTTCTGGCCATTAATAAATACTAATGGGAAGAATAGACTGTTGATTTCTCCTTTGGTAAAGGACAGGAAAGTATTTCTCCAAGAGAAATTAAAAAAAATAAGACAAGTAAAATAGACAAATCCCCAGTCCATTTTACCTCTATAGAGGTAACAGAGTGCTAGGTAAATATTAGAATCACACAGCATTAAAGTTCTAGAGGATTTTAGGCTTTATCTTTTTGCCTGGGTTCTTTTATTAAACTCCCTTCAAATGACATTTAATTGTAATCATTAAGGTCAGAGAACTCAAGGAAAATGGTTCCTTGCAATTCTGTATCTGAAATGTACTCAGATTTGTGAATCCACCTACCAAGAACAAATACTTATTTACAAGATTGAATCATTCATTTTAAAAAGCCAATATGCACTGTTATTCTCAATGGCCACAAATCTCTCAAAACAGGACTTTTCATCTTCTTATGATTAAAGTTAACATTTTTGCTGTCAGTCTAGCCAGTGATAGATTTAATGTCTGTCCTTATTCCTAAATCTGGGGACCAGCTGTTTGATGAGGCTCCTTTAGTGTATGAGGATGGGGAAAAAGGAAGGGATAAACTAAATATGTGATTATGTGTTAAGAATTAAAATTATAAACAAGTCAAGGCCCATGGGGCAGTATGGGTTATTTGTTCTTTTATAATTTTGTTGATTTAAATAATCTTCAGTTAATAGATCGGTAGTCAGGATTTGACAACTTTTCATTGTCCAAAGTGATTTTAGATTAGAATAGATTTTTCAAATGAAAACCCAGAAGGAAAAGATAGAGATTAGTAGTGGAAATATCCAAAAGGTGCTGAATAGTTTGCAACATGAAGTCAGATCAGAAGTTGTAAGTGATTTGCCTCTGGTAGATGCTTAGTATATATTTGAGGTATTGAGTAATTAATGATAGAATTTGCCCTGTAATAAGTCTTTGAAGCCCCTTGTGAACATTTATTATATTAGGCCTGGTGTGTATTTCTAAAAGTGTCTGCATAATAGCATTTTATAAATATCATGTTTAGAAAAAGGAATATATATTTAATTTTAATGGGATATATATTTTTATTTAAGCAATATTTTGATATTGATTTTTATAACATATGTGGTCCAGATTTGAAAATGTAACAGTTCATTTGGTTTGATAATGTTTGGGTTCTGGCTTTTGCCCAAGATACAAAAGTCCAATGCATCTACATAGAATAGTAGTATGATTTAAATCTAATACATTTTGAAACATAATTTACTTTTTTTAAATAGCGCAGAAAAGGAACCAATATTTCAGAAACAACCTTAACAGGAGCAGCTGCCTCTACATCAGTTTCTGCTCAAAGTGATCCTGAAGTTATCATCGTGGGATCTGGTATACTTGGCTCTGCTTTGGCTGCGGTGCTTTCCAGAGATGGAAGAAAGGTGACTGTGATTGAGAGAGATTTAAAAGAGCCTGACAGAATAGTTGGAGAATTTCTGCAGCCAGGCGGTTATCATGTTCTTAAAGACCTTGGTCTTGGAGGTAGGTTCATATTGATTTTCATTAGAGTTATGGGTATAAGCAAGCACTCTTCACTTTAGAACATCCTATGACTAGTAAAAAGGCATTACATTTTGTTTTCATTTATAAAATTTACCATACTCATTTAGCAATACATTTGCATAAAAAGGAGAGCAAAGCATAAAATAAGCCTTTAGTAGTATGAGGAAATATGGAGTAGATTTTATGAGATATAATGAAATGGCTAAAAAATTGTAATGGTCAAAATTAAGGACTGGAAAATTCTAGAATGAGGACATAAAATTTAGTGAAAGGTGAAGGGAACTGTTACTTAAGAGTGTATATCATGTGCCTTGTTATAATTTTATTACCTAGACTCTTTTATTTAAGCATCATTCATCCATCCAGTCAATGCTTTTTTAGCACCAACTATTGATTTAGGAAATATTTATTACTGCCTGCTTTGCATGAGGTCCTATACTGGATACCAAGGATATACTGGTGAATGAGACAAATAAACACTCTATTCTTGAGGAGCAGAGTACAAAGTATACCTAGGTGGTAAGTTGAGAAATAGCTTGCTTAGCGTATGTGGTAAGAAATAACAGTGTTCCATTGATTCTGGAACTAGATTGCCTGGGTTTGAACACCAGCTCTGACACTTAAAAGCTGTATGATCTTGCCTGAGTAACCAACTTTAACCCAAGTAACTTAATCTTCTATTAGTTCTCTTATATGTAAAATGGACGTAATAAGGGTCTCTGCCTAAAATGTTATTAAGAATAGTAAGTGATTCATACACATAAAGCATTTAGAACAGTGCCTAACACTATGTAAGTGTTTGTTTAAGGAACTGGATGATGGGGAAAGAAGAGTGGCTTAAGATTAAGGTTGGAGAGATAGGTGGCAGCTAGATCATGCAGGGCTTTGTAGGCAGTGGATCCAGGAGTGTGACGTATCTCGTTTATGCATCTAAAATAGTGGCTTCAAACCTTTACAGCCACTCACAGTAACAAGCACGTTTTACATCCTGACTCAGTTCATATAGACATACATCAGTCTGACTGAAATATTTTCTATTTTACTTTTTAAATAGTTGTTATGATTTCACCTGATTCTACAGTTTATAGGTTGAAACTCATTTCACAATTCACCATTGGGTCACACCCTACCTTGTGTAGAATACTATTTTATTTTATGTTATGTTTGTTATATGTTTTATGTTATGTTAATTTTTTGAGACAGAGTCTCACTCTGTTGCCCAGGCTAGAGTGCAAACCTAAAACTCCTGGGCTCAAGCTATCCTGCGTCAGCTCCTTGGATAGCTGGGATTACAGGTGCACACCACCACACCTGGCTAATTTTTCTTTGTTTTGTAGAGACAGAGTCTCACTTTTGCTTAGGCTGGTATTGAACTCCTGGCCTCAAGTGATCCTCCCTCCTTGGCCTCCCAAAGTGGTAGGATTACAGGAATGAGCCACTGTGCCTAGCCTAGAATGCTGTTTTAAAGGAATATGTGGATACAGTGTGGAGAGTAGACTATTAAGATTTTGGTGGTGGGGTGGCAAGAATCAATGCTAGGAGTAGTCTAGTGGGGACTAATTGCTTGATTCAAATGACAGATGATGGTGGTTTGGACTAGCATGGTGACAGAGGATATAAAGAGAAGTGGACAGATTCATGATAAAATTGAGATAGAAATGACATGATGTACTAAGGTAGTGGCATGATATGAGGGAAGAGGATGCTATCAGAAGTGATTCCTAGCTTTCCGCTTGAGCAACTGGTAGATGGTGATACCGTTTGCTCATAGGAAGAAGACCTGGAGAGACACAGGAACAGGTGTAGTGGGATATTTAGGGGGGAACCTATTGAGATACTGAAGTGGAGATGAAAATATGAAGGCAGTGTGCAGAGGAATGGTTTGGGCTGTCCAGAGTTACACATTTCAGAGCTGTCAGCATATCTATGGTATTTAAAGTCACAACAATGATTGAGACCATCTAAGGGTTTTTAGTATATGAAGTTGGTGGGGGATACAGACATTCAGTCCATAGCATATTTAAACATATTTTATGTCACTATTTTAATATACATGATAAAGTCTACTTTTTTACTTAATACAAACATATTTCCAATTCTGTTAACCATTCTTGATCATCATAACCATTCTTTATCATTATCATTTTAAGCCTATGCATAGTATTTTCTCAATGTCATAATGGACTTTACTTTTCAAACTTAGATTAATGTTTAGATTATTTTCTTTTATTCTTTATATAAAACTGTAGTGAACCTATTCTTTCATGTTAAAGATTATTAAATATTAAATATTATGTCTTTAGGATAAGGTATCCTAAGATATTAGGATATCTTAGATGAATTTCCAATAGTAAGATTATTACACGAAATGATGCTAACTTCTTCATAGTTCTTGATAATTACTGCTATAATTACTTTCTAAATTGTAATATTAGTATATAGCACCACCAGTAATATATGAATTTATCAGTTTTATCATAATCTTGCTGAGGATTAGGATAGATTTGGTGTCTTATTATTTCATTGATTTTTTTTTAAATCAAGTTTTAAACATTTTTCCTGTTCACTATTTCTATATTGCTTTATGTGAATCATTGATACACTTTTTTTGTCTATTACTATGGGAATCTTAATATTTCTTCTATGATTTTAACAAATAAATTTTAACTATAAATATTAATCTTTTGTTTTATTTGATATACTTTTCCCAAAGTACTATTTTAGTTTTTATCATTTTTAAATCAATTTTTAAACTTCTTAATTTTCAATTGGCACTTTAAAAATGTTATATTTTTTATTGAAATATTTTTCTTTTCCAACTTCTTTTACTGCTTTAAACGTAAGAAAGCAATTTTTATATGAACCTAATGAATTCAGTGTTTTGTTTGCTGCTACCATTTAAATTATTTGATTTACCAAAAATACCCTAGTTTGTCCCGAGTCAATTTTGATGGCTAATATGTAATTATCAATGTTTGCAAAATAATTCTACTTTTTCCATTTGGTTTGGGAAATCTACTTTTTTGTATATTGAGTCTTTATGTGTAAATTGATCTTTTTTAAAAATTTTCATATTGTTTTTATTTTATCCTCTATTTTTTTTGTGTGACAAATCTACATATTCATACATTGAAAAAAGTATTAAGAAGGACTGAATGTGTTCCTTTGTCTTTGTGGACAAAGTTTACTTGTGGACAACAGGTTTACTCAGGAGAGGATTGTGGTTTATTTCATTTCATGTTGTATTTTCTTGTCTTTCTGAAGTGAAATGGAATTACAGATCTGAAATAGTTGGTCATTATCTTTAAATGATTTGCTAATTTCTTCATTGTCCTCCAGAAGCACCAAGATTTCTCAAATAGTTATATTAATTGTCCAGTTCTGGAAACTGTATCTTAGCTTTATGAACACAGAAACTAATTTTTGATGTCTCTTTGTCTCTCTTGGTTCCTAGTATAACTCTTGAGTATATTAACAAAATTGATTATTTTGAACCAAATTGTTTTGCAGATACAGTGGAAGGTTTTGATGCCCAGGTTGTACATGGCTACATGATTCATGATCGGGAAAGCAAATCAGAGGTTCAGATTCCTTACCCTCTGTCAGAAAACAATCAAGTGCAGAGTGGAAGAGCTTTCCATCATGGAAGATTCATCATGAGTCTCCGGAAAGCAGCTATGGCAGAGCCCAAGTAAGACTACTTCAAATATGTAATATTAAAGAATCAACACATTTAAACTTGGCCTTTGTACAAATTAGATTTTATACATTTTTGTGAATGTTTTAGGCATAATATAGAACATAGGTATACTAAAGTAAACCATAAGTTAGAGAAGAGTATTAGATTCAGTGGTTTTGTTAAGAATATCATATAGAGAATTTTCCTTTGGTTTTTTTATTTTACATTTTTTATTTTTTTAATTCAGCATCACTAATAATCAAGAGGATTTTCCTTTGACATAGAATTAGAAAATTTTCCTTTGACTAAATAAAAAATTATGTGATTGGATTACAGTTCCCAACCTTTTTGGCATCAGGGACTGCTTTCATGGAAGACAGTTTTTCCACGGATGGGGGAGGGGGGATGGTTTCAGGATGATTCAAGTGTATTACATTTATTATGTACTTTATTTCTATTATTATTACATTATAATCTACAATGAAATAATTATACAGCTCACATAGGTTGGGGACCCCTGGATAAGTCCATGTGTGCCCATTTCAGAGTTATGGTTTGTGGTTATGATACCTTCTATTAAAAGTCAGGACAGAGAACTGCAAGGAGAAATTACTGTTTCACTCTCACTAAGGACCTACCTAGTCTGACAGGACTAGCTTCTCTTGATTATTAACTTATATTTGCCTGTAGCCTTTAAACACCGTAATTGAGAAAGTTTTAAACATGAGAACCCATGATTGATGAAGACTTAAGTATTGTCAGAGCAAGTGAAGAAGTAAGTGGACTTATCCTTAGTACTGAAAGGACTTGATATCCATGGAAGAAGAATATGTTCATTGTGTGAAAATGGAAAAATACCCCCAAATATAAAGAAGATTATAAAAATTATCTATCTATTGGCCAGGTGTGGTGACTCATGCCTGTAATCCTAGCATTCTGGGAGGCCAAGGCGGGAGTATTGCTCAAGGTCAGGAGTTTGAAACCAGCCTGAGCAAGAGCGAGACCCCGTCTCTACTAAAAATAGAAACAAATTAATTGGCCAACTAAAAATATATAGAAAAAATTAGCTGGGCATGCCTGTAGTATCAGCTACTCGGGAGGCTGAGGTAGGAGGATCGCTTGAGCCCAGGAGTTTGAGGTTGCTGTAAGCTAGGCTGACATCATGCCACTCTAGCCCGGGCCGCAGAGTGAAACTCTGTCTCAAAAAAAAAAAAAAATTATCTACAAAGCACAATCAGCAAAGGAAAAAAAAATTATCTGTCATCTTCTGAAAGAAATACTACTCTTAACAATTTGGTGGATAAACTCCAAATCTTTTTCGCCCTCTGTGTATCAGTGTATGAGGGTATGTAAAGTTTCTCTGCTTGTATTTTATTTTTTAATTAATTAAGATAAAAATCTAGTGTTACTTTTTAAGATACTTTTTAATTCATTACATTAGTATTATGGATTCAATGTTGAGTAATTAGAAAATAAAATCACACATAATTCTGAAACCCATAAATGATGGTTTTGCTTTTTGTCATTCCAGACCTTTTTCAAAATGCAGACGTTATAGACACACATATATGCGCACACGTGTGTCCAGTTTATGTGCGTCAGCTGGAGATAAGGAATATGGAATTTATATCTAATTTAAATGCTCAAGTGTGCTACTTTAGGAATTCATTTCTGTTTATTCTTTAGTGTAACGTTTATTGAAGGTGTTGTGCTGCAGTTATTAGAAGAAGATGATGCTGTGATGGGAGTTCAGTACAGGGATAAAGAGACTGGAGATATTAAGGTAAGATTTATCAAATGTTATGTCTTCCTAAGAGGTGTTGCTTTTTCTTCTTTTTTCTCCTACCCTTTTAAAAAAGTAGGCTCACCAATATACAGGTTAAGTATCCCTTATTGGAAATGCTTGGGATTCAGATTTTGGATTTTTTTCAGATTTTGGAATATTTGCATTATACTTATCAGTTAGCATTCCTAATTGTAAAATCTGAAGTCCAAAATGATCCAGTGAACATTTTCTTTGAGTGTCATGCTGGCATGCAAAAAGTTTTGGATTTCAGATTTTCAGATTAGGGATATTCAGCTTATATTTATCCAATGGACTGAGTTCTCTTTAAACCCTATGCAATATTAGCCGCCCGAGAAGCTGGGACTGCAGGCACACACTACCATACCTTGCTAGTTTTTAAATGTTTTGTAGCTATGGGATCTTGCTATGTTGCCCAGGCTGATCTCTTAACTTCTGGCCTCAAGCATTCCTCTCACCTTGGCTTCCTAAAGTGCTGGGGTTATTGGCATGAGCTACCAGACCTGGCCTGTACAAAGATTCTTATAAGCCCTAGCTGCTGACAAAAAAAGCACTATATGAAGTTAGAGAAGTTTAGAATAAAAGAATCTGGTTAGTCCTTGGAATTGTAATGAGATTCAGTCTTCTATGGTCCATGCTTGCCTGTCATTGTCTCCCCTGTTGTTCTTCAAAGAGGAGAGTAATCCCAGATTGGTTGATAGGGCTGCAAAGTGAGAAGATCCTCAGGGACTGACAGAGGTATCTGTAAAGATTAGTCATACAGTACCTAAGCCCATGTAACAGTTTCTTCAGTGGCATTATCTTCAGCTACCCTCTATTATGTTATCTGGTAGTATATTTAAATATGTTCATGCATATTTTTAAAGAGTAGTCTTTTTGCTATGTATTTCTAACCATTTTGCTGAGTTTTCCTTATTTCTGTTATAGGAACTCCATGCTCCATTGACTGTTGTTGCAGATGGGCTTTTCTCCAAATTCAGGAAAAACCTGATCTCCAATAAAGTTTCTGTTTCATCTCATTTTGTTGGCTTTCTTATGAAGGTAATGTAGGAGTAATTAGAGAAAAATAAAAGCAATTTAAAATTTGAAAATTATTAAAATATTTTATTTTATTTTTTTAGAATGCACCACAGTTTAAAGCAAATCATGCTGAACTTGTTTTAGCTAATCCGAGTCCAGTTCTCATCTACCAGATTTCATCCAGTGAAACTCGAGTACTTGTTGATATTCGAGGAGAAATGCCAAGTAATTTAAGAGAATACATGGTTGAAAAAATTTACCCACAAATACCTGGTAAGAAATAGCATCTTACTCCCATTGTAATCTGCAGTCTGAAAGCAAATCTCGCCAAGGCTCTCCGTCTTCAGTTCCCACGAAAGCTGTGTCTAAAATAGGCCAGAGATAAGGATGGCAGGTAAAAAATGCATCCAGGCAACCAGACATACTGGAGCTGAACTATTTAAACTAGCACATAAAATAACCAAAACAAACTCCAAATAAAAAAAATAGTTTCAATATGTTTTTATTATATTAATAATTAAAGCATAGTTTTCAGAGTAATTATTAATATTGGCATATATATTACTGTGTAAGATAGTCTGGACAGCAATCTAAGGTGTTAGAATTCTTGAAGTATCTCTTAAGTATAACTTAACTGTTTTTGTGCTTGTTTAGTAATGATAGCTACCATTTATTGAATGTTTACTAAAAGATATTTGACAAACATGATTTCATTTAATGTATCAACTACCCTATGAGGTAGGCATTATCATTCTCATTTTACAGATGAGAGAACTAAGCCTCAGAGACATTACTTAGCTTCTCCAAGGATAAGCTATTAATAAGTGGCAGAGCCAAGGTTGATATCAGGTTTTTCTGGCTCATACATGACTGTTCCAACATGCCTGCCCTCAGAACATGAGCATTGTAAGGGATCTTCAAGATTATTTTAGTTTTGAGTTGAATACAAAAGCTTCATGAGGTTTAGACATCTTTGTAAAAACACTTATAAAAATTACTTTTTCACAGATCCAAAGTTTTTGTGGTACTAGTTTTTCGGGGTTTTTTTTTTTTTTTTTTTGGAGAATTAGGAAGATATAGGAGAGAAATGTAAAGTGTTAAGGATTTTGGTAAAATTGAAGGGAAATGCTGATTGTCAATTATGATGTGAGTAGAGTAATAGGAAATTATCTTTGGTATGAATACCTTTTGTTTAAATACTCTTTTTTCAAGTTGTTTTTTAAACTCAATGAAACCACTCTGTTTAATAACTTATAAGTTATTAACAGAAATGAAATGAAATGAAGTAGACAAACATTTATAGTAATGAATTTAACATGTATATGGTAGTATTTCAATACATTCTCATTCAGTTAAGCCAGTTTTGAAGTTTACAGTGGGAAAATGAGTTATGTGTATTTAGGAAAAAGATTGTTTATTACTCGATATTTTAGCATTTATCTTTGTTTTATTCCCATCTTGAGGTTAATTAGACTCCCTGAAATCGTGGACAGAAACCATTTTTAGGTTTTTATTAATATTAGGTTACCAACATTCTACTCCTTGTATGAATGGAATAGTTTCAACATAGGCATTCCACTCCTCTATTCCCAGATTATGCTAGGAACTGTATGACAGTTCATTTTCTATACAGGTGGAAGCACAGAACTTTAAAACTGGGAAGTATTTCAGAAATGAGCTAATCCAACCATTTCCTTTTTATAGATGAAGGAATTAAAGCTCAGAGAGGTAGAGCTGGCCTATGCCTCTAAATCTAATTCTTTTTAACCTTCCTGCTGTTTGTGAATTGGTAGTATGTTTCATCTGAATTACAAAATGTTGATTACAGTAAATTAAATATTAAATATGATAGTTATCTGTTAATATTTAGAAGAGAATGGGTGTTTTCTCCCTGTCTTAACTCATCTGAATTTGCCTCCCTCTTTCTCTAATGTCTGTTCATTTAGCTGTGTGGATGTGTTTTTTTTTGAGACAGGGTTTCACTCTGTTGTCCATGCTGGAGTACAGTGGCATGGTCATGGCTCACTGCTACCTAGAAGTCCTGGGCTCAAGTGATGCTCTTGCCTCAGCTTTCCAAGTAGTTAGGCCTATAGGATGGTGCCACTACGTCTGGCTCATGTATGTTTATGTTATTTTTTTCTTGGATTCTTAGTCGTTCCTTAGCATGTATTGCTAAGTGCTTAATGAATAATTTTATTAGTAAAATACTTAGTCCTTGGTTTATCACTAGGGATATATATGTAATTACCATAACAAATGTATAGTATTCATTTGTTAATACTTGATAAGGAAATATTTGCTAATTTGAAATTGAAATGTTATAATTTATTTTGTGGGTGGGATTTATTGCAGAACACCTGAAAGAACCATTCCTAGAAGCCAGTAGAATTTTCGTTTGAGGCCATGCCAGCAAGCTTCCTTCCTCCTTCACAAGTGATAAACGAGTATTATTTATTGGACTTATTTTATAATGAAGTCATATCCAAATGACATGTACATGATTAAATTTATACTGCTGGGAAAACATGTGGACAGAAGCAGTTACTATGGATTAACACATTACTAATGCTAAAATTAGTTTTATGGTATATTTGGTTATTTGATACTGGGTGTGTAGGGTCATGTGCAATCTTTGGGGATATAGTTAAAAAGGCGGCCCTTGATCTGAAGAAGGCAATTTTCTAGATAGGAATGTAGACAGAATTTCACAACACTGTTATAAATTTTAAGTTTTAAGAGTTCTTATATATTTTAGGTGCAAGTCCTTTATTAGATATGTGAATTGCAAAATTGTTCTCATTCTGTGGGTTTTCTTTCCACTTTCTTGATGGTATCTGTTGCAGTACAAAAATTTTTAATTTTCATGAAGTTCAGTGTATTTTTTCTTTTGCTATTTGTGCTTTTTAAATTTACTGCTTTATTCTCTTTTAAGAGTTTATACTTTTACATTTATGTGTTTGGCCATTTTGAGTTAAATTTTGTGTTTGTTGTGAGGAAGAGGTCCACCTTTATCAGTTTATATGTGGATATCCATTTCCTCAGTTTCATTTGTTGAAGACTACTGGTTCCTCATTGAGTCGTCTTGACACTCATGTTGAAATTAAATTGACTGTAAATGTAAGGGTTTATTTCTTTCCACAATATTTTGTTTTTAGAGTGTAAGTTTTGCATTTCTTTTGTTAAATTTATTTCTAAGTCTTTTACTCTTTTTGATGATGATGTAAATGGAATTGTGCTCTTAATTTCAAGATTGCTCATTGCTAGTATATAGGAATACAATTGATTTTGACATATTCATCTTGTATTTTGAAATCTTGCTGAACTAATTTTTTAGTTCCAATAGGTTATTGAAAAGTTTTTTTTTTTTTTTTTTTAGATAGGGTCTTCTTGCCTTGTTGCCTGGGCCAGAGTGCAGTGGTGTCATCATAGCTCACTGCAACCTCAAACTTCTTGGCTCAAGTGATCCTCCTGCCCCAGCCTCTGAAAGTGCTAGGATTACAGGCATGAGCCACTGCACCTGGCCTGAAAAGTTTTAAACAAGGTGGAGACATGATTAGATTTTTATTTTAGGAATATCACTCTGACATTTTTGTGGAGGATGGTTTGGAGGAAAGTTCAGACTGAAACATAGTAAGGTTATTTAATCATTCCATGTGAGTGATCACAAAAGATTAGAATTAGGGTTGTAAAATGAAAGGTAGTGAATGGATTTGGGTAATATCTAGGGTTTAGAATGCATTAAACTCAGTGATTAATTGGATATTGTAGTGAGAAATAAGATCTCTTGATATAAATTCCAGGTTTCTGGCTTATTTTTGCCAGCCTGTGCTGACATTTCTTGATTTTTTTTCTCCTTTGTAGAAGTCTTGCTTTTTGTGCTGGGATAACTGTAGATTCTTTACTATTTTCATATTTTAATTTGAAAGAGGCCTTATAAATGTATTGACATTGTTGGACTTAACATTAGATTTGCATGTGAGTTTCATTAGGGCAGAGACCATACTTTTGTTCTTACTGTATCCCCAGTGCCTGGTACTAATGGTACCCGACAATATTGATTCAGTCAACTCTTAAATTTCTGACTCAACAAATTTTAGTCATGATTCATTTCCTTCTATTTTCACATTTTTCCTATTTATTAGCTTACATTAATCATCTTTATAAACTAACAGAGTTGTCATTTTTTTTTTGTTTTGTTTTGTCTGAAGGGATGCTCCAGGATGTTATGATCTTAATTAATTACCTCTCTTCATAGGTGTCCTTCTTTTGGGAGATGCATATAATATAAGGCATCCTCTTACTGGTGGAGGAATGACTGTTGCTTTTAAAGATGTAAAACTATGGAGAAAACTGCTAAAGGGTATCCCTGACCTTTATGATGATGCAGCTGTTTTCCAGGTAAGATACTAAATTATTCTTGGATAAAAGTGTCTCAAATGTATTTCTCTCGGGGGTTGGGGGGGGCCTAAGAGCAATGGGGCTCTGATGGGCACTGTACTTGGGAACCCGATGCTTTGTAATGGTTCTTAGGCAGTCTTATTTAGGCTTAAAACACCTGACTTACAACCCATGAATCTTACAGAATTTCGAAATTTCTTTATTTGAATGTTATTTAATATTGGATTGTCATGGGCCACTTTGCTCATAATGGCTGTAAATTCCACTTGAGTATCATATAATCCATTGCTCTGAAAATAGTTTTTTTTTTTGTAAATGATAAACATAAGGCAATATTACTTGCAGGTAGTCCTTATGATAAATATCAGTTTGAGGGGATTATAAACATGAGGTTTTATTTCCTTACCCTATATTAAGTGATCTTTTTCTTTTTCAGGCAAAAAAATCATTCTATTGGACAAGAAAAACATCTCATTCTTTTGTTGTAAACATCCTTGCTCAGGCTCTTTATGAATTATTTTCTGGCACAGATGGTAAGTATAGATATTTCTTAATGAACATTACTGAATTGCAGATTTTTAGCACAGGAAAGGAATTAAAAAGTTAAGGATTAGTCTAGAAATCAAAATGTTACCTGAGTTTGCTGACTCCCAAGTTGGTAGTTCTTTTAACTCCACCCTTGAATAGTATTTTTGGTATCTAATCATCATGCATCTACCACTTTGTCTGAAAGGCTGCTGACTTTCCTTAAACAACATTAATGGTAATACCTCAATAATGTATTTATTATTTTGAATTTTTCTAGTCCAGACTAGATCTTGCATGTCCCCACATGCTAATATTGTGGTAGAAGGTCTTTGGGGCCATGTATTAAAAGGCAACATAGTCTGTTTCTTCAATTTCTTTTTAAAGTAGTATTTTACAAAAATGAATATGAGCTTCTAATCATGTTTAGAGTTGCTGCCTGTGAAAAAGCACAAGGAACAGAATGCATTCACCCTTTATATATTTGAAATATTCCTGTGCTTTTATTTTTGTTTTCATATTGTAGAGAGATGATGGTCAATTTATGTATTCAGGAAAACATGACTTAGCAGAAGCAATGTTAGAAATGGAGGAATAAGGCTGAAGCGGGTGGATTGCTTGAGTTCAGGAGTCAAAACCAGCCTGAGCGAGATCCCATCTCTACTAAAAATAGAAAGAAATTAATTGACCAACTAAAAATATATATACAAAAAATTAGCCGGGCATGGTGGTGCATGCCTGTAGTCCCAGCTACTTGGGAGGCTGAGGCAGTAGGATCGCTTGAGCCCAGGAGATTGAGGTTGCTGTGAGCTAGGCTGATGCCATGGCACTCACTCTAGCCTGGGCGACAAAGTAAGACTTTGTCTCAAAAAAAAAAAAGAAAAAAAAGGAGGAATAGGCAATTGTGCCATCTCCCAGTCACGGCCGTGTACAAATCAGTTCATGCTAGGTTAATGAAACTAGGCTTTTAGGTTTTCAAGAATAAATATGACTGAAATTCTATTACTCTCATATATTTGAAACATAGCTATTTGTATGACCTGGCCGAGGCCCTAGTGATCAGTGATTTGGCTATGATTACAAAAGGTGATAAAATATAAATGCTTTCTGTATCCCTTATAACTATCAACTCTTGATTAAAAAAAAACTCACTGATTGTACATTTAGCAAGTCTCTCTTGCTAAATTGGTATAGAAGTTAAAGTGGCTGGTTGGGCAAATAAAAAGAACTAAATTTTGAGTTTTTCTGGGTGCTTCCTTTTAAGCTTTTCTAAGGTCTTGAGTTTTTACATTATGAATTTAAATCTGCTAACAAAACACTATTTTAAAAAGTTATGAAAGATTGGAGGAGGAAAGAACTTTATTAGAACAAAAGCTTACCTATTGCATCCTTTTAAAAAAAACTATTATAAAGAAAAATCTAGGCATACCTTAAAATAGCATTGATTCTAAACTGTTAAAAAGGTTATTAAATGACTATATACTATGTTTTGAGGGTTTAATGAGTTACTTTGAAAAGTATTACAAACTGTACAGATATAAGGCATTTTTATTTATTACTATTCACAGCTATTCTTTTTACTTGATAATTTACTTCTTAGATGGGTTGGGCATTGTCGAGACTGGGAATTTGGTTTTTAGAATTGTGCTTTTATAATAAAAATAGTTTACAAAGTATTTTGTGTCATTTAGTGAATTAACAACAAAATCAAGGAAATAACTTGTAACAACTCTAATCTGAGACCAAAATGTTAGTAATTATTTACTAACAGAAAAAAGTTTATTCATATTTATATTACTACTTATAATATTGATTATGGAATTTAAAAGAAAACTTGGTTGTTAAAATTCTAGTATTAGCTATTTAAAAATTATCTTTAAGGTTTGGTATTTGTTACATTTTTATCATTTTTTTTCTGACATATCATTAGCACCCTAACATAAACGTGTAAATATTTTGATTGAGTGTAATTTTAAAATTTTATTTTAGATTCCCTGCATCAGCTCAGAAAAGCCTGTTTTCTTTATTTCAAACTTGGTGGAGAGTGTGTTGCTGGTCCTGTTGGGCTGCTTTCAGTGTAAGTTGTTTTGATGGCACAGAGGAAACCAATATTCCAGATTTTCTTAAGACTGTTAAGTTTCTGAATTATTACAAATCTTTCTTCTTTATACATTTTGTCATTTTATTATCCATTAGTATCCTAATTAGAAGGTGGCCTAGAGAAAAGAAGGCAACATTTTATACTGTTTTACTTCTGGGCAACAGCATTGATTAGAAGTAGAGGAAGCTATAACCCTTGATTAAAGTAGCTTGGTTTTTGCCGGTGGGTTTACCCACATGGTCCGATCTGTGGGAGCCATGAATAATTGAGAAATTTGAATTTAATAATTAAATTGATTGAAGTGCAAAGACTCATGCCAACTCAGTTTTGACAGTGTAGACATATGTGGAACTATTCTTGGGAAGTCTGCAAAGTAAAATTCTTTGAATCATTTCTCATTCATCTATAATCTGAATGTTCATACTGATATAGTTTTTTTAAAAACCTAGACTCTAACAGCTGTAGTGTGGCTTTGTGGTTAAGGCAATGAACTAGAAATAACCTAGACTCTAATAGGCCAGGCCATCTAGGTACTTCATCCTGGGATCTCAAGATGAGTGAAAGAAAACAGCTCAAAATAAAAATGACTTAATGTTAACTGGAGTGAGGGGAGTTACTTGGCATCTCTGAAAGGGACATATTCTATGTAGTTCCTTGTGAAAAAAAAATTTATTTGCTCCTACCATCAAATTTAACATGCAGACGTAAGCTTGTAAAGTCCTTTAAAATGAAGAATGTGTGTTGAGCTCTATAGATGATAAATAATTGGAACCTTTGGAGTAAATTTTAATTTCTGGGTCTTACCAATCATATATATTTTTTTCTATTACAGATTATCTCCTAACCCTGTAGTTTTAATTGGACACTTCTTTGCTGTTGCAGTCTATGCCATATATTTTTGCTTTAAATCGGAACCTTGGATTACAAAACCTCGAGCCTTTCTCAGTAGTGGTGCTGTATTGTACAAAGCGTGTTCTGTAATATTTCCTCTGATTTACTCAGAAATGAAGTATATGGTTCATTAAGCTTAAAGGGGAAACATTTGTGAATGAATATTTGAAACTCACCAAGTCCTGAGAGACTTTTGGAAAAGGATGTATATTTCATAGTACTATACCACTTCTAAAGTGGAACCTCTTGAACCAACATTGGGATTAATTTGTTTTTGAAGTTTTTTGTATATAAACGTGTAAAAATATATGCTTTGATTTACAATTTAAAATGAAGGGTAAAATAAGCTAGAGACATAAAAGGAATGATTGTTACTATAAACTAGCGCTAATACTAAGGAACTGCAGCTTTTCTTTTGAACTTAGTATTTGGGATGAGTTGTTGGGACATACAAATAAAATGAAGAATGAGTTTTCGTGTCTTTTTGTTTCTTGTTGTGGACTTCTTTACATAGCTTCATGGTAATGGAAAAGAAAACCAAAGTGGGATGGAAAGTGCAGAGGGAAACCATTCTATGAAATAACTGACTTTGGAAAAGTTGCTTTAATGTCTCTGGACCTTATTTTCCTTATCTGAACAATGAAGCAATTTGAAATGTTTTTTTTTTTTTTATTTTTTTTTATTTTGCTGCCGTGGCTTGGTTTTGAACCCCAAAAGGTTATTTTCTGAGTTCTATGAAAATATCAGATTCCTATAAGAACAATGAAGGGCTTTATAGTTCCACTGTGTAAAATGAATAAGCCAGGTTAGGATTATTTCAAGAAATAGTGAATGAACAAATAAGCACTTGCAATACATGGCATAAGGCCTTAAAATCAGTTAGAATTTACTGAGTTTATCTACAGTAAATTTGAGGAGATTATGGACATTCAAAGGGTATCAGAAAGTTCAGTAAATCCCTAAATATCATGAAAGTAAATTATCCCTGAAAATGCAATAAAATATAACCTGGAAAATTAAGTAACTACTTTAGATTCTAATGATTAGGGCTAAAATAATTTGTAAAGCTTTTATGATTAAAAATTCCTCTACATTCTTGAGTTCTCTCTTTCAGTTGAGAAGGTAATTCACTGGCCAAATCACCAGCAAAATAAGTTTCAAACATCACTTTATCATGTTTTAGCAGAGCATATGGTGGACCCATTTGCTTGGTTTCATAAGATACCCTTATAACTTACCCAAACGTCTATTTTTCTGGTAAAAATTCACTTTCTTAGCTCTGGCTTTTTTAGGAGCTGGCTTTCTTTTCACTGAGAGCTAAGGATTTCACTTTATGTGGTTGCTGTTAACAAGATTACAAATGAAAAATAGTGATATATTTTTGAGATATGGGTGTTCCCACATGGCAGCATCACAGGGGGTGAGAATTTCAAGCTCCTTATGTGCCAAGCAACATTCACTTAAAATTCTGTCCTGGGCCTCAATGCCAGCCATCTCCATGGCCAGGACATCAGAGTTCCCTTATTCTCTACTGAGACTCTTTAAAATTCTTTCTACTATGACAATGAAACAAAGCTTGTAAAGCCTTCCTTTTTTCTTTCAGTATCTTAAGAGTTTGAGGACTTCAGACAAAAGAAATAACATGCAATTAGAAAACTGAAGGAACCTGAGAAATCATTTAGTCCTAATTTTATAGATAATGCCAATAGGCTGGCTTGGGATAATGTCTAGCTAGTGGCAGAACCAGGACTCAGACTTTGCCTCTTGACTATAAATTAACACTTCTTCCCCTCAAGTTGCTAAATGGCTGTCCCTTTTCTGGTTCTGGGGTTTGTTTTTGTTTTTGCTTGTTCTCTAAAGGACACAGCTATAGGTTCACAGCAGAAGCATCTTTCTTGCTCTCATCCAAGTTGTCGATGTCCAAGTTGCCACAGTAGGATAGAAGCTTCCTTTCAGGGTAATTCTCATGCAGAAGTGATTTGGGATTTTGAGGGAGTTAAAAAAAAGGGTGGGGGAAAGGCTTGTGGATAGTGACATGCTTGGAGGGACTAGATACGGGGCTCAGGGCCTGCTGAAGAATGAAGATGCTAGAAGGAGCAGCTGAAGGTAGGGAGTCCTACAGAAGGGATGCTGGGAGCCCCTAAGGTATCTGCGATTGGAAGATGATGATGAACCTCAGACACCAAGAAACTTAATGGCATGTGGTGTGCAAATTGTATGGCCACAACATTTGCACTAGTCTGGCCATATCATATGCCTTCCAGCCTTGTCATGGGTAGGTCATTGTACCTACCAGAGTCATCTATCTTCCAAACAGGATTTATTTACAGGGTGACAGCTTTGCACAGTGGCAATATTGTAGCCAATGAGGTTTATCTGATGTGTGATTGCTGCTAATTGAAAACTTCTCCCAATACCCCGCCATGACGACTTATAATATTTACAGGGTGGATATATGGTTTTTGAATCACAAACAGAGAGACAACTTTGAGTACTGGCAGTACTATTTTACTGAAAATCTGGAGTTGCACAAATAGTTCTTTAGAACACAAAACTAAATGGATTTATACATACAGTTACATTCAACATTTATAAGAGGCAGTACAAAAATGTGTTCTGCTTATACATGATATAAATTGCATATAATACCATGATTTAAATAATATTAACTAGTGCTGTGAGATACATCTTAGGATCTCTGATGTTTCTCATAGTAAAGGAAAAAAAAAAAAAAACGAAGTTATATGAGCAGTTGAGTTTCATTTCCAAATTCATTTTAGTGGTGATGGGGGGAAAATTTAAGGACAATCCTTTCATTGTGGGAGAAACAAGTTACAGGACTGTTCTGAATTCATCAAAAATGAAATTAGGCACATGTGCTTCAGCAACCTGAAAAATAAAATAATTAAATTATTCATAGTATTATAGTTGAACAAATTCAAAATTTTCCAAATGAAAATTAAAGAAACGAAGATATCCTTTCATTTGGAGCAAGGTGAATCACAGGGAAGAGGAGATTCACATGGGTGGACCCCTCTTTGAAACAGCCACTTTCTATTTGTACTGGTGTCTGTTCTCTGTACTGGTGTCTCTTTTCTTTGCACTGCTAACATCTGAGGGGATGGATGGTATATACAGTGTTTCCCCGAAAATAAGACCTACCCATAAAATAAGCCCTAGCAGGATTTCTAAGCATTTGTGCAACATAAGCCCTACCCCGAAAATAAGACCTAGTGATGGGGGTGGCTATGCAGCATATCTGCACAACCCATGCATTTCATCGTGAAGCAGTAAAGAAGATGAGCAGCCCTTCTCATCTGCCCCATCGTGACAGCTACTATCCCAGAGGTGACCGGAAAGGTGTGGGCAGCCCCACCAACAAGGTCAGCTCCCTCTGTCAGGTCCTGGCCATCCTGTGCATGCTGCAAGCTGAGGCTTTGAGGGCAAGTCTCCTCGGTGAAGTGAGGAGCCGGACGCTCTGCTTTCGGTATTGTGTATCCCCAGGGGGAAGAAGGAAAGCTGTGGCTGCCATTTTACTATGATGATGTTCCAGAAGACAACTATATTTGAATAAAAGCAGATTGTTGTGCCGTACTTAAAAAAAATAACACACCCCCTGAAAATAAGCCCTATGGTGTGTCTTCTTGAGGAAAAATTAATATAAGACCCTGTCTTATTTTGGGGGAGACACGGTAGCTCTCCCTGCCTTCAAATGTAAGCAATTATAAAAGATCAAATATCTAAATCTTTATAGTTTCCTCTTTTGGTGTTAGGAAGTTCTGAGGGCTGATATATATTTGTCTAAAATTTCTAATTTATAGGTTTCATATTTCATACTAAGCCTGTAATTAATTTTGATAACACAGGTAACAAAATATAAAGGGACTTGGCTACTTTTCAACCACATAATGAACTAGCGTACCTATTGACCAATATTCCTTTTCTTTCTTAATTTAAGATGCTACTTCTTACATACAATTGTATGCATAGGATTTATTTCTAGTCTACATATTTTAGTCCATTGATCTTTCTATTGAATTGCATACTAGTACCACACTATTTTGTTTTTTATAGTTTTATATTGTTTTAATATAACATGTTTTAATATCTTCTTTTTTTAAAAAAGTCCAATTATAGCCTAAGTCCTATGAAATTTTTTAAAATATATTTTTTGAAGTTAAAAAGTTACTTGAATTGTAACTGCAGGAAACATAAACTAGAAAGAACTGTTATCTCTATATTTGAGTACTCTCATTCAGAAACATGGACTTTCAAATTTTATATTTCAAAATTTTATAGTTTTTAAAAATAAATTATTCTTTCATAGTTCTTATAGAGGTTATTCCTAGCTATATTATTTCCTTGTAATTTCTATGTATAGGTCCTTTTTCACATTAAATTTTTGAACTGATTATTAGTGTATATATTGTACATTTATTCTGTAGGCAGTTTGTTTTCTGATGATTCTATTGGGTATTCAAGAAAGACAATTATATCTCAAATAATACAGAGTTTGTCTCTTGAATATACATTTTATTTTTGTGTCATTTCATATTTGTCTTGTATGTGTATCACAAAAGTAGCCGTGAGAGTCCGTATGGTTGTCATGTCACCATTACAGTCCTGACTTTAGTGGGAATGCCACTAGCATTTCACTATTAAGTATGACATTGCCAGTTAATTTTTAAAAGATCACCTTTGGCTTTTGTTTATAAAAAAAGTATCTTCAATTCCTAACCTAGTTATTTAAAATCAGAAATGATTTTCACCATCTATTTAAAGATCTCTTATATTTTAGTATTAGGCTCTCCACTTTGAGCCAAAACTTAACAAAGTAGAATTGCTAGTGAGAAAGGAGAAAAAGAAAGAATTTCTTAGAAGGTGAAAAGTAGTCTGTCATTTTTGGTAACAGTAGTTGTGTATAACTTTAGTCGTGGCATGAACGTAACCAAACATGCTGTGGAAACCAGGTCAGTGGGGAGAGAAAGAATGAAAGACACATGATTCTTTCTTTACTCTGCCACTTAAGGAATCCCCTCCTGGCTTGCCCATCTCACTTGACTCCTCATGAGCCCGGTGAGTTGCCATCAGGAGGGCATGAGGAGAGTGAGAGGAAGAGGAGGGACATTGTGTTAAACTCTGTCCTCTTGCACAGCACTCCACATGGTGGAGAAGGCAGGAACATCCCAGAGCAGGGGCGAGGGGCTCAGAGACAGCCACTGAGAATGACCTACCGGACTTCACTCCCGATGAGTCCAGGGCCACTATTATTACCATCTTTTTACAAACAGGTCGTTAACACTTACCCTTCTGGGTAGCTTTGTGTACCGAACATAGTCCTCCAGGAACAGAAGGGCACCCACAACATCTGCAGGCATTTCAGGTATCTTCTGGCTGTAACAGAAAACAGTCTGGATCAATTCACTGCTTTGCACATAATAGGCCCGCAGTTACAATACAGAAAGACTATG